CCGTTGCCTACCAGATAAAAACTAAACGCCAAAATTCAAGGTTCTTTATTATGTGGCCTCTCCCTGATTCACAAGTATAGACTACATGTATTTTAGGTCAGTTCGAAAACATCATAAAAACTAAAACCTGAGAAAAGTTCACTCATAATCCCCCCTGTGCTTAAAAAAAAAAAAAAAAGTCACTTTTTCACTTAGTAAGTTCCCTTTTCAATGCCTTCCGAACTGCAAATAGGTGACCAGGAAATTTTATCAGTACAGAATTTTCTGCCTTAATCTTAAACTTTTTCATGTTTCTGTGTTAACTTGTTCTGTAATACCTCGATTCATCAGCCATACTGACCAGCATGTCACTCAAGGTCTCCGCTAGATCCTCTAGCATCTCTGTGCAAAGTGGAAAAAGGCCCATCTTCTGAGAAGGATTGGCAAAGCCCCCTCCCACAGGGCACATCTCCCATAAAGACATGTGGACACCCTGATTAAAAAAGGCTATCTATGAAGGAGGAAAAAAATCCCCCTGTGCATAAACAGGCAGGACAACATGGTTTGGAAGTTGGAGTCAGTCCTACCTCTTACAACTAGCTTGTTTGGTCCCAGGCAAGTTGCTTAGCCACTACAGACCCCAGTTTCTTTGTAGGGATAACAGTCACCACTACCTCATTAAACCACTGTGAATGGTAAATCACCAAAGGTCCTTAGAACCGTGCCTGGCACGGAACAAACACTCAATATTTTCCTCCCCAGTAAAATTATATCAATGTTATCTACATCTCTGTGCTTATTTTTAAATACTTAAAAAAATTAGTCCCATGAGGGAAAAAGTGTTTATCAACAAGGATCTAAATCTGAACTCTTCATCTCTTTATGTAAATTCACTAAAGATAGAGGTGGTCAACAGAATGATGACTATTCAGGAAATGTCATTCCTTTAAGATAATGATCTCAGGAAAAACAGTGAAATTTGTTCTGGGGGTATCTTAGGAATAAATACTTTTGTAAGTTCACATTTTAGAGGAAACGTGGGTGTTGGTTTCCTCAGCGCACTGGGAAGGGTCAATTGGGATGACCCTCGAGGCCTTGCCAGCTTTGGATGTATATGACCCAATTTTGCCATTAAACCACCCTCTACCCCATCACAAAGCTTCTACTCTAGAAAAGACAGTTTCTTTCCTCTTCCCCAAACATGCCTGACCTTTGATGTAAGCTTTTGCTCCTCTCATGCTTCTTCACTTTACCTCCACCAGAAGCACTTTCCTCACCCTGAATAGCAACTCTGGCCGTCACCCAAAGGCCCAGTTAAAATCTGACCCCTTCTTCCAGGCTCTTAGTGCTCCATGGATTTCTTTAAAAACTCAAAACTTTTATTTATTGTCTATGTCACTCCTTATTTAAGTCTAATGCATTAAGTAATCATTCTTAAAAATTAAAAATCACTTTCCCTTACATCTGAATACAATCCTTGTCTCCCAAAACCTAGTATGTACACACATGCATATAGAGCACCATTTATTTTAGCTAGACCTATAGCCACGTTAACAGAAATCTTAACTGAAGGCACGCAAGACTCCTGGCTTACAACACTGTACAATTCTGGTCACTACTCCATCAGTTTCAGAATTTTTACCACTGGCCAAGCTGACAAATTCATGTAACATGGAATCTAATACCTGATATATCAAGGTGAATGTCATGTCCTAAAATTTTTACTAATCCATTTTAAATAGTTAAAAAATGAAGTTTGGGGCACCTGGGTGGCGCAGTAGGTTGAGCCTCAGCCTTCGGCTCAGGTCAATGATCCCAGCGTCCTGGAATGGAGCCCCACATTGTGCTCTCTGCTCAACAGGGAGCCTGCTTCCCACCCCGCCCCCGCCTGCCACTCTGCCTACTTGTGATCTCTCTCCCTCTGTCAGATAAATAAATAAACAAATAAAATCTTTTAAAAAGAAATTTTTAAAAAAATGAAGTCTGAATACAAAGAGGAGAGTGTGCATCAACATCACAATTTTCTTTAAAAATGGTGTTTTTTGTAATCAAGCCCCACTTATAAAGTGTTTCAAATTTCTTAAAATCTCATTTCCTCTTCCAGCTTTAGCTAACACATTTTGCCAAGTGATAAAGGATGAGATCACTGAATCTACATTCTTATCTGGAGATTAAGAGGAGGGAACTAAAATCTGCATTTGGATCCAGAAGACATATTCCCATCAAACAAAGCTACCAGAATAAGTTACAGAACATGAATTAATACCCTTTTATGCTTTCCCAAAAAATGGCAACATGAATATGATACACCTTAGAGGATCAAATTCTTAAAGAATAATAATATGACAACAGAGTATATCAAAGTTTAAAAGGCAGTAGGTTTTGTTCCAGTACAGGGTGATGGGGAGCCGTGAGGTCATCATATTATAACATGGGAGCAGTCACGATACCCTGCCACCATGCATGATGAGCTCTCGTGGCCATCATGCTCACCCGTGACTTACGAGTTTTTCCGGTTTGAAGCCTCATCACCAGTGTGTAACTGAAGCTGCTCCAGAAACAAAGGGAGAGAAGCAGCTCTGGTGGCATTTGAACTGAAGATACTCAGGCAGAGAAACCATCTGGTGGTGGTGTAAGGAATGAATGGAACCAGATGAAGGGGAGACAGTAGGAAGAGAAAGGACAACTTAGAGGAGGCAAAGACAATCCGAAAGGAAATGGCAGAATGGAAAAGGAGGACAACGAAAAGAAATCCAAAAAGTGAAGGAAGTGTGAGGAGCAGAGAAAGAAAGGAGAGAGAAGGAGGAGGAAGAGAAAAGAAATGTGAACAATCTTTGGGTATATGAAAAGCAACATGTACCACATGCCTGTACTTCTGATCGCTGTTCATTTGGTTTTTTTAAGTCACAGATGCTATCAAATGACCATATACAGAATTACAATCCAGGCACAAATCCATGAACCACAAGAGCTGGATGGAATGTCATTGATCTACGTTGTTTAAAAACAAAAGCAAACAACAAAGCTTCAGGTCAATAAGGGGCATGAAAGTTACTGCCACATTGATTTTGAGTTTCTAGAACCCATGAAGGAAGAGTCAAGGGAAACCCAAATGTTCCGTTCCTTAGCCTGAAACTGTTCAGATGCAATACAGAAGAATGTGATATGGCTTTCTTAGTTGGTCATCTTCAAGCACATCTGCCAACCAGAAAGTTCAGATACTTCCTGCGTTTCTCAGAAGAGCATTTCCATCATGTCTATCTCTACACTTTGGGTCTATTTTTCCAATTTAAAATGAGTTCTAGCAAGATCTACCTTGAGCCAAGTGTCAAGCAAGTCAGGCTGGACACGGATGTCCCTATCCCATGCCTTCTAGGGTACAGGACTACAGTTCTCCTTGAATCGAAGATATTTCCATATTTTACTGACTCCTCCACTCTTCCACAAACAACGTGCTCTCAATGAACAGTCCTCATAACTCAATATTAGCCCTAACAAATTATTAATCAGGAAAATGGATCTTTATTGAGGTAGTAGCTGGCCAATAGGTGATACATTCCAGGTAAAAATGACAAAAAAGCAACTTAAAATGTGCTTTGTCAATTAAATTCCTTACATATAATTATATCTCTACTAAGGGTAAGAATCTCTATTCACACACAAAGGTCATTAAGGGAATTCTTCACACACGACTGGCCTTTCTTCAACTTCCAAATCAGCCTTGTCCACATGTAGAGTTGGTGAAGGCTAGCTAGTGATAGAGCTCTCAGCCTGTTGCAAATACCACAAGATGGACTGAAACACTGCTCTTCATTATTATTAAACCATTCAAAACCCGTTAATATTTTTGGCATCTCCAAACGTGGAAAATCCGACTGGTTGATCGGAAGCATCATATTCAAATGTCAAACCCTTCAGCAAACCTGCACTTCATTATTGAGGTATTTACTTTCTATGACCAAAACCCAAGTCAAAGGGACGAGAGGTAATCAGAGGACTAATAATATGAAGTCTGCAAGCCACATTTTCACGACTTACAACTTGACACACAGACCCTACTACCAACGACCCAATACCCACGGGAATCTTCAACACTGACAGGGACAACATCCACGTGCCAGATCAAGCCTAGAGTAAGTGACATAATTTTTTTAGGTTACAAAGAATAAGCAGCAGTGGGGAAGGGAAGGCTAATTAATAAAATATTTATTCAGTTATTTATGAACTTGCTCTGGAGGCCATCTCTACCTTGACAGGCTAGAGTTCTGATTTAGCCATCCAGACCTTAATGTTAAGTACAGTGCCTGGCAATTTACAGAAGCTCAAAAATATTTTTCGGTGAATGAATGACTGTAAGTAAGAGAGAACAAATCTTAGTGATATTGCACTCATTAGTCATACAGGCGGTCAGTGCCCATCTTTCCTCAGCTTGGTGGCATTTCAGCCATGACAGACTAGAGAAGAATCCTTAGGAGGAAACAAAAGGTTGACAACTGAGCACACTAACCAAAGGAACACCACTTAAAAGCATTCAGTTAATAAAAATGGTCACTACAACATCTTGCACCTCTAAGAACACGTCCCACAGAACACACACCTAAGCTACCACTGGAAGAAGGGAAGGGAGTATGAAGAGTCAACCAGGAATTCCTGAGCTCCTCAAATCTCAAGAGGTGCTGCCTCGACCCAGAAAACAGAGCCTAAGTCAGGAAGTCAGCCTCCCCCTGGTTTCGGAAACTCATCTACGGAGTCCTCTGTGCTCTACTATTCGGCAGCAGAATTCTCCTCCTGCGCCAAATGCAGGGCTGGTGTTTCCCCAGAACTATTCAAAGCTGTAGAGCATTGCCCAAGTCATGATCCCATGATCTCCCGAAGAAACTCTCCTTTGCCTCACTGGAGATGCAAGTGCTGTGTGGAAAGATACAGCTCTGCGTGGCCCAGGACCAGCCACAGAAGCGAGGCGGTCTGCTGTCCCAGTGTCGCCCAGCGAACGCGCCTCCCTCCGGGTTCACGGAACTCACCGCAGCGCAGAATGTCTTCCTGAGCGGGACACGCTGTTGCCCACGGGGGAGGGCAGGTTGCTCCCTCTGTGCAGATCCTCGATGGACCTACTCCAGGGCTTTGATTTGTCCACCGAGCTCTCCACTGTGCTTTCCACGCTCTCGAAATCAAAACTAAAACAAAAGAGAGATCCCTTAAAAGTGGACAGTCACACAAATACATGGCTATGCGTAACTGGCTCCTTCCGACCGCGCATCTGCACCCGATGGCGGGGGGTCCTTGCGAGCAGAGGAAACTAAAAAGGCAACACCAATGCCAAAAAATGTCCACGGACTCAGCTAGCCTCGAAAACCCAAAATGACAAATACTGGGCAAGGCCAACGCACACACGAACAACAGGGAAAAATTAATAGCAACGTATCATTTGTATTTTACTACAAGGTTTACTAACTTACCAACGGCTAACACTGCTATGGTGGAAGGGCAGGGAAACGTCTTCCAGCTGTCTTCATTTTGCTTTAACAAGTCAATATGTAGGCTTATACTAATTTATTCCTACCCATCAATTTTCACTGAGCATTTTCTCCTAGTGTGTTGGCAAGTGTACTTTTCCAACCATATGTGATACATTACTTGCAAAGTTATGGATTTGCTTTGATTTTGGAATCTCTTCCCAGTGTGGTGTTCTTTAAAGCAGGACTGGTGTTTCTCTGACATTTTTTGAGGTTATTACTCATGTTGACCATGTTAGAATAAATGGCAAGTTAAGTTGCTCATTCTTGTATAATTTTGGGAACAAAATCTTTAAACAGCCAGGCCTCTGTGTTCTGTGCATTTTCCCGTCCCAAAGACAGGAGCTCTGCCTTCTCAAAAAAATGTATTTTATCAATTGTTTCTACCTCTAGTTCCACCCAGCAACACCTGATCAGACAGAGAATAAACAGAAGGCGGCTGTAATTAATACCAGATGGAAGGGTTTGGACAGCGATCTCAGAAGAGACAGTAACAATACATATTGGCAATAATAAGGATGACTTTTCATAAAGGTACCATCGCCAAAATAAAATATTTTGTTAGAATCGTCATCTGTCAACCAGGCGATGCTGTCCCTCTATTAAATACTAAGCCAGGCGGCGGCCAGGACAGATTGTCAGTGAATGCATCTGGCAAGTTTGTCACGCCTTTGGATGCAGGAAGCAGAGCTGAACAGAAAAGAGGTGGGATTGAGTAATCAAATCCTTAAACACTAAAAACAGAAGCCTACAACTGATATTGGAGAAGGTAAGCCAGCGGGGCACCCCAAAGATCACCCGTGTCGTCAACACTCTTGCCAAGTCACTCTGCAGCACCCCCACGTCCTTCAGCTGTCCCACAGGCTTATGCTTCTCTCAGCTCGCCCACCTCATGGAGCAGGAGGAGAAGAAACACAACTTGGTGAAGCATCCTTTTCTAGGAACAGAGTATGAGCCTACTGGTGCACATTACCTGAGCTAGGAAATTATCACAAGCCAAAAGGACAGTAAGAAATTTTTCAACCCATTAGTTTCAAGAAAAAATGTAAGCTATGTCTCTATATATAATTTATCTAAACAAAGCAACACAAAACCAAAATTAATAAGCAGAGCATGTAAAGGTAATGCCAAGAAAAAAAAAAAAAAAAAGTAAAGAAGGAAACCAAAACTCTGAGTTCTGATCTTCTGCTGGGTTTGGTCTTATGCCACACCTAGAATTCCCTCATGGTAACACTGCTTTCTCCCAGTGGTCTGAAGTGAGGGTATGCCTGGGAAAGCTGGGTACATGAGCTCTACTGTCATGTAGGTAAAAGGTAAATTATAGCAAACATGTAATACATAGCATGTCATCCTTTTTCACTACAACTGAAGTCTCTTAGCTCTTCCTTAATTCCAAAACTCTTCCTCCAAATTTTAAACTATGCAGCGGGGTAATATTATTGTGTTTTGTCATATAATATTAAGTGTAAGAGAGGTTAGCAGTTTTTGACACAATGGACATAGATAAACAATCCTTGGAGGAACACACTATAAAACTAGGATTATATTTCAGAGAACAACTTCTTAGAAAGGCAAGAATGTGTCTATTGGTGTTTCTTACTCTTTTCCATATCCTAAACAGGAGATATCAAACCTGAAACTGATCAAGCCAGTTTCAGTTTGTACTGTAATTTCTGCATCCACTAGAAAGGAGTAATTACAGCTTCCTTCCCAAGAATTCTTAAGGAAGTGCTGAGGATTATAACATCTGGTTAAGTCTTAGAACTTCTTTGGAGTGATGCAATATAAAAAACAAGTTACTGCTTTTAAAAGAAGCATTGGGGCGGAGGGCAGGGGGAGAAACACCACCTGGGCCCAAATGTCTTCCGGTCAAATTAAAAATACAGTATTACTTCCTCAGTCTGTGTGTGTGTGTGAGAGAGAGAGAGACAGACAGACAGACAGACACAGAGACACAGAGAGAAAGAGAATCGGTGGATACTGCAATATTCTTTGATTAAAGAAGTAAATACAGGGGCGCCTGGGTGGCTCAGTGGGTTAAGCCTCTGCCTTTGGCTCAGGCCCTGATCTCAGGGTCCTGGGATCGAGCCCCGCGTCGGGCTCTCTGCTCAGCGGGGAGCCTGCTTCCCTCTCTCTCTCTGCCTGCCTCTCTGCCTACTTGTGGTCTCTGTCTGTCAAATAAATAAATAAATAAAATCTTAAAAAAAAAAAAAAAAGTAAATACAAAAAGAATATCTCATCCAAATGTACACTTTTCATTTCTGTTGTAAATTCCTCCAGAAGCCTAGCAAAAGGGAAAATTTTATGAATTAACAAGAAACAAGGTTAACTAAATTGATTTTCTTTCCTGGTCTTTTGCTATTCTCCCCCTTCACCTGATGAAAGGTAAGTCAAAACAAATCAAATACATATAAAGTAGAAAATGGAAAGGCCTCTTGTTAATTCCTTTTTCCAGTCCTACTTTATTCGGTATATCTGCTATCATTTTCTCTGCATTTACTAGCACATACAAATACACACAAACATATACATATACATGTTTTTTTTTAACAAAAAGTTACTTCTCTGTGTCTTGTTTTATTCACTCAGCAACACATCTTACACCTCCTTCAGTGACTGCCAGGGTCATCTACCATATGGATATATGTAAGCTGAACACTAAGGAGAGCACTTTTGAAAAGAAGGACTCTAAGGGTGATTTTTACTTCCCTATTTTACTTTTGCCTTAAAAGCATTTCTATGGATGATTCTATGACTTGAGTAGAAACAAGCCTCCTTAAACCTTACAACATCTGCTTCTGGGTTTCTCCCTTCGGTGTGGTATAGAATTTTGCCACTCACTTCCATCTTCTGTGACCCCAAGAAATTCAAAAGCCAACAAGCCAAGTTTTACTTACGTTACCGCATACTGAGCAAATGACAGATATTCCACTAGAACATCAAGACCTCTGTTTTCTTCATTCAGAAACTCTCTGACCCATCTGTCAAAAAATAAAGACAATTATTACAGAGGTTCATCACACGGTCTGCTGTGAGAGAGCCCAGGGAACGCTGTTACTGGTCCACCAGAAACATTCACCGAAAGGGAGTCATGGAGGAAGGCCTAGACTCCATCACACCTAGGAGGAACTTTTCCATAGTGCAACAAAAAAAACCCCAAAACCAAAAAAACCACAGCATTTTGGGGCACCTGAATGGTGTAGTCAGTTAAGCATCTCATTCTTGGTTTTGGCTCGGGTTATGATCTCAGGGTCCGGGGATGGAGCCAGTGCCGGGCTCTGCACTGTGCGTTGGGGGGCAGGGGGGCCGCAGGGGGGAGTGTCTGCTCCAAGACATTCTCTCCCTCTGCTCTCCCCACCCCCCCACTCTCTCCCTAAAATAAATAAATCTTTGGTAAACAAAAACAAAAACAACTACAGGATTTCAACGTATAAGAAGAGGGGGCAAAATGTATACCTGCATCTCCCTTGCATTTTACTACTTGGGAGACTTAGCATAAAGTGTAAGAAGTATTCTAAAAAAGGAACTTGTTAACTGTACATTTTCCACCACAAGTGACCCACAGCCTGTTCAAGGAGCCAAGACTGCACGGGGAATGTGGCAGGCCCGGGATGTGACGACATGCACACTAAAATCCAGGCGTGATTCCAAGTCCACGTTCAACTCCTTCTTGGCACACTAAGCCATCGAAAACACTCAACTAGCCAATGAGACACCAGTGTTTAGGGGTTCCTGGAAATTCAATAGGGATCATGATTTGCTTAATTTTTTCCATGAATGTTAAAACCTCTTAAAAACTTGCAGACACCACATACCATTGGCAAAGCCAAGACATGACATATCATGTCTTTTTTTTTTTAATTCATTTTAAGTAGTATCACCTTGCCTTTGAATGGTGGGTTTAAATGCAGTTTACTGAAAATGTTTACTCATTTTCAATTGCACTTCATAGTAACTCTTAACAATGAAGCCCAGTGGTCAAGCTGAACCTTTAGGTACGGAAGATAAGCACCTGTCACCGCCCATTGCAGATTTCCTCCAGGACATTCCTCTTTGAAGAATGTATGACACCTGATTAAACCTTCTCTGGGTTTGAGACTTCAACAATTAATAAGTCAAAAGGTCAGCAGAAATGGACCTTGAGGTACATCAGCCAAATGCACTCCCAACCTGGTTGCCTTCTTCCATAAACACCAAGCAAAAAAAAAGCCCCACCAGCTCTAAACACGACAGCTACTCCGGAAGCCAGTTTTATAAGCTATGAGAACAACACAATCAAATTTTAACTTTAAGGCTGAGCAACCCCTCAAAATCTTTGTCTTAAAGGAAGAAAAAAAATCTGGTGGACTCAGGATGCCTGTTTTAAAATTCTTTTGGGGGCTCCTTCTCCTTTGTTTCTGTTTGTTCTTTTGTTTTACCCTCAAGCTCATTCTTTCTCATACTTCTACCAACTCCGGGATGCAAACTCGGGCCTGCAGGGAGTCCCAGAGGGCAGCAAAGCAGGAAAAGCAGACAGCGTATCTCTTTATTTTCCCCCACATGCCTCAGGCAGGCTATCACAAAATGTAGGCACCCAATACAGCCCCACGGAAGCAAATAACCATTAATTAAAAAAAAAAAAAAAAAACTGGGGTGGCAAGCAAAAGAACCACCCATCGGGCCTCATGAGAGCTGGTCCTGAGTTCTGTTGAAACTTCCCTTCCAGACCAGCACATACACCAGCTCACGGCATCTACCTCGGGATACTTTTGGCTAATTTATTTTAATGATTCCCCCTATACCACTAGATCTCAGGAGGCATGAGACATTTTTAAGTGCTAATAATTAGAAGCCTAGAAGAGGTAAACACACACACACACACACACACAATACATTTTCTGTTTATAAATGGTAGGAGATTAGAGAAAGGCCGGCACTCACTATGAAATCCATGGACTAGCTGTTCTTGAAACTCAAGCCTCTGAACAGCTTCTCCAAGGCTTCTCTGTGGCCCTGGCCTATAGACTCTGACTGCCCCACTGCGGCTGACCCTCAGTGGCAGGTGTGTGGCGGGAATCCCCTGGGCTGGGTGCAGGGGCGTTCACTTTAGAATGCAAAGTCGCCCTCCGTTCCAGAGTCTTCAGAGCCGCCTAAGTTCCACGTTCTCTATCCCAGTGGCTCATAAAAACACTCCAGTGTAGGAGCTGAGAACCACCACTATTGTAGGGCCTTCTGGTTGACTTCCCAGACACACGGCCCCTAAGAAGTAGGGATGGTCCGGGACACTCCGTGGACCTGTCATGGTCTCAACTGCCAGCACCTCCAACTCAGGGAGTTTGGCCACAAAGCAGAGGAGGCAAATGACTCATAGATAAGAAAATTAAAAAAAAAAAAAAAAAAAAAAAGGAAGAGAGGGAGGGAGGAAAGGAAGGAAAGAGCCAAGTACATCCAGAGCCATGATTCTCGACTCAAAATGCTAATATGCATATATTTTGATTCAGGGATAAAAACTATTCTGAGCTTCTCCTGCTTCATCTCCATGCCCTCCTAGGTTCCTCCACCCTCACTTGCTGACTTGGAGCGTAAGTGCCTTAACACAATGTTCAAAGTGAAGGGCAAGGACAAGCCACACGGTTCCTAACCAGTCGGCTAGAGTGTATCAGGTCCTACATCTGAGAGATTCGATTCCACACAGCTAGACCCGTTTCTCTAAGCCATGCGATGTTCCCTGGGTCTTTGATCTGGCCCAGACACCCCGAGGTGATTTAGCAAAGAGTAAGAGAACAATCCACATTGGCTGACTACCTATCTCCTCTGTCAAATGATACCAGGTTAGCAAAGTCACTGCAGCAAAAAGGCTACGGGTTTACAGGAAAAAAAAGTCTTCACCCCCCTCCCTCACCTCTGGGTCTCTCAATCTCTGTCCCCGCCACACTTGGGATATTCTGTGTGGGAGAGAACAGGGGTGAGAGTCAACTTCCGGGAAAAGGAAAACAATATAGAAAGAAAATGCAGGTGATCATGCGATGACATATCATAAATTTAGGGTTCCTCTAGTAAATAATTTCCATTTTTCACTTCTGTGCATGCTCCACACACTTTTTTACATATTGCCAGTACGCACACCGTTTCAAATTGGATGATTATAGGTTTTGGAACCTAGAATCGTTTCTGACTCCAACAGCACGCATCACTTACTGAGTACCCCACAGATTCAGGGTAATTACCATATGTTGTAAATCTGAATTAGGCAAATTCCAAATCAGGGGCTCAGGAGCTGGAAGAAACCATGATAATGAAAAATAGCTCTGGGGGAAAAAAAATCTCAAGGAAGGGATCTGAGTGCAGACACAAGAGTCACTGCTTTATTGTAGACAGGTCAAAGCTGTTTCAGAGAGGCTGGTTTCTCTCTGCCCTGTCCCCCCACCCCCACTGCCAATTTTAGAATCTCATTGTTCTGATCTAGAAAATGAAGTCTCAAGGGACCTTTCTGGTTCCAAATTTCTGAGATCAAACAAAGCAGACCCAAGATCACAAGATAAAGGGACAAGGGGTGAACTCCCTTTGTCTGTCTCCTTAGAGAGGCACTCCTAACACAGGCTGGAAACTGCAGCTGCTGAAAAATCATGAAAAAACAAAAAAAATCATGAGAAGCAAGAGAAAGAAGGTAAGCATTCCCCAGATTCAGCATCAGCTACCAAATCTACCCTGCAAGACGGCATCCCAAGTTGGGGCTCAGTGCAGCCCCCCACAGCACTAGGGGGCCCCAAGACCCTCTGAGGGGTTTGTGACATTACAACCATTTTCATAAAAATATTAAGATCATACTGACTTTTTACATTGCTGGCACCTGCATGATGGTACAAAAGGAATAGTGGATAAAACTGCAGCTGGCCAAAGTACACCTCTTTATTGTGTTCTCACCCCAGGCCCTTGGAAGGCAAACAAAAAGTCAGCTTCATTTGAAACGGTCCTTAATGAAGCAATGAAAATTATGGATTATTACTAATGCCTGTCCCTTGAGGTTATATCTTTTACATTTTCTATGTGACAAAATGGAAAGCCCACATAAAGTACTTCTGCTCCTACCCTAGGACCACAGTTGTCTCCAGGAAAAGCACCTGGGCAGTTGTTTGAGTCACAGACTGAACTAGCTGTTGTTTTTTACATGAAATGTAAAATGACTAACAATTGTGGTTATTCTGTCTTGGGTGTTTGACAGACATTTTCTCAAAAGTGAATGAAGTGAACTTGCCATCTCGAGGAAAAGAACTGATGGTATTTGTTGTCCATGATAAAATTTGAGGTTTCCACCAAAAAAAGGAATATTTTGGAATACTTGTATTGACCACAAGCTTGACAACTTCCCGGTACTTAAAGTATATTCAGATGAGACTGGTAATTATTAACAAATGTGACTGTTTTTATATTGTAGAATAAAATGTCTCCACTTTTGAAAGATCGGTATAACCCAGTGAAACAATATTTTTCAGATGACCAATTCATGATGTTACCCAAAATTTTCAGATGACCAATTCATGATGTTACCCAAAATTACACCTGGGTAGAAAGACCTATTCAATTTTCAAAACGGCACAGTAAATTTTAATTTAACAAAGTACAAAAGCTCACTGATAGCATTTCAGATTCCACATTGCAAGGAACTCTTAATTACTGCTCCTTGGAGGATGGTATACTATCAAAGAAGAATATCCACAATAATCAGAAAAGTTTATTTAAAAACTACTTTGTTCAGGGCGCCTGGGTGGCTCAGTGGGTTAAGCCTCTGTCTTCAGCTCAGGTTATGATCCCAGGGTCCTGGGATCGAGCCCCAAATCGGGCTCTCTGCTCAGTGGGGAGCCTGCTTCCCCCTCTCTCTCTGCCTGCCTCTCTGCCTACTTGTGATCTTTGTCAAAAAAATAAATAAAATCTTAAAAAAAAAAAAAACCAACAATACTACTTTTTTCAAGTGACGTATGTGTGTAAGGCCAGGTTTTCTTCATACATATCTTTGCATACATATACAACATATTACAACAAATCAAATGCAGACAAAGAAATCTGAATCCAGCTGCTTTCTATTAACCAGATATTAAAGAGATGTGTAAAAATGTAAATCAGTCCCACCCTTGTCACTAATTTTTCCTTCTTGCTTTGGAAAATAGTTATTTTTCACCAAATATGTTCTCCATGCTACGTTTACCATTTTGTATTTATATATTTATATTATTTACCTTAAAATAAATACTAAATTTGATTGAATAATCAAAATTAACATTTATCAGTTTAAATTTCCAATATGGTAAACATTAAGAGAAAAAAACCTCATATAAACAAAAGCATATTAGGGTTAAAAATAATTTAAGAGAGTTAAGGAGTCCTAAATCAAAGTAATTTAATAATTTCCAGTGTAGATAACATCAGAACATATCTAAGTTCAAATCTCAGTCCTTCTCGGTTATGTGGACTGGAGCAAGATAATTAATAAGTGACTCAGTTTTCTCATCTATAAAACAGGCTCAGAGGTAAAGGCCAATAATAAGATTTTTGTAAGAAATAACACACTGAACATGTTTAATAAATGATAAGATCGCAATCTTGAGGATTTCGAAGACTCGACAACTAAGAATGAATTAATTATAGGGTCGCTTGATATGCTCATACCCCAGACATGTTGTATACCTGTTAAAACCAGCCTTACTCTTCTCTTATCTTTTGGCCTGGCCCAGCCAGAACTGAGTCACCGAGACACCAGGAAATGCAAACCTTCTCTGAGAGTTTCCGGGCTCCTTCGCCTTTGTACAAACCTTCTCCCTGCCAGCTGGCACATTGCTCCCACAACCTCAGGCCCATTCTTTCAGCTCCAATGAGATAAAGTGAAATGAGCATCTTTCAGAACTTCTATGTTCTCCCACTCAGGATGAAAAGCAATTTCCTATCATAATGGAGAGCTTTATTTAAAATAAAGTACCTCCAAGGAGAGAGAAGCTATCCCTCAGTGCCATGGAATAAAGCGCATAAACCTATCCAGCTCACCACCATCCCCACCCCTTAACTCTTATCATCCTGACATCCAAAATATCATGACATGTGCCCACTCACACCGCATAGCCAATGTGTTCTCACAGTGTGTGGCTCCTTTCAATGGTATTTCGAGTCATTTCAAGGGCTTGGATTAGTCGTAATCTAATTCTTCTCTATTATTATAGTTCCTAAGGGTAAGTGAATAAGATTTTTTCGAGTCCAATTCTTATTTCAATTTGGCTCAAAGAAAATTAATTTTCTTTCTCAGAAGATTGCTCCATTTATAGAGTTTTAGGCTTATAACAAAACTCAGAACAGACCCTCACTTGACAAAGCTGTAGCCTGGAATGTTATCTCAGCAAAGCCCCAGACTTTAAACTTAAAACACAAGTGTGTGCCAAGAATAACTTCTTCAGGACAAGTAGATTTTTAAATGTAATTCTTCCTTTTCATTTCTGGGAATTGCAATCTCCTAGGTGTCAGGGTCATTTCAGGCAGAGAAAGTACAATCTCTGTATGGAATTCCTTAGAGATACATAATATTATTGATTAAATATTGCTTGCAACAAGCCTAACGATAGTTATCATATTTTGAGTCATTACTTGTATGAGACCCTATATAAGGTCTTTTATAAATTTATCTCATTTAACCTTGCAACATTTCTATTGGCAAATATCATTATCCTCATTTTATAGATGAGAAGTTAACTTAGGTCACACAGTAAATAAATACAAAGAACTTATGTACTTTAGCTAAGTGACTTAATAACTAATCAAGGGCATGGCAAAACCTGAACCAATGGGCACCCAATTACCATTCTATTACGGTACCTCAAGAGAGTACAATAAAGTCTATGAATCCCTTAGATAGCCCATTGCATTCCAAAAATTCCTCACTGTAGTAATTGATTATTTTCACACTACTGAATAATTCAGAAGATTTCCCAATCAAACGAGGTCAAGCGAGTTCATTTCCATCAGAATTAGAGTCCAGCGCAGGCTTGGGTTTTCAGGACAGCCGAGACAGGTCCAAACCCTGGTGTGCATGGTTTTGTTCCACACAAGGCTATGCTAATAAGCGGTTGCATACAACCAGACAATGCACCTCCATGAATGTTTCTGCAGCTAAAGCCAAAGCTTTCAGAAAGTCTCACACATAGGTGGTAGACAAAGGGAAAGTTCAGATGCTCAAGAAGGAAGAAATGTGAGAATTGTTCAACATGCCTACAGCATCCAAAACAGCACACCACTCCGATTGCTTACAGATTTGCACTGGCTCCCACCCAACCAGGGCTCTTCTACTCAGCCAACTCTGTATTGGAAATGACTGTCTTGCTTTGGTATTTGATGGTCAATTTCACGTTATTTCAGCAGTGCTTGAAGAAATGCTCATCGACAATTTGAGAAGCCCTGGGTGCAGCTCATTCCACCGTTGTCGGTCCCAAGTGCCAACAGTACAGGGTTGGACCTTACCAAATGGAATCTAGTTCCTGATCCCCAAATACTGGAAAGTATTTAAATTTCCCAAGCTTGGATGCCCAACTGTATTAAATCACCACGACTTTCACCCCCAAAAGACAAGCCTCATTGCTTTGATCCCAGAGTCCTGATTACCTTACTTCCTTTCCAGGAAAGAGCTGCCAGATTAAACTACATAAGAAAAAGAACATAGCATTTTGAACCCCAGCACCTGGGCTGTACAGCCATGGACTTTGCAGGAGTCACTCACCTTCTCTGGTCCCGAATGCTTTTTATCTGTAAAATTAAGAACTAGGGAATCCTTAATTTCTCTTCTGGTTCTAAAGTCATGATTCTATGATCCACTGTTTGATAGCCCATTTTCTCAAACAAAGTGATTATCAACTTTAGAAATCAGTTCTTTTCCAAATACTTCATTCTCAAAGTGACAAATGTACAGTTATCCTCTAGGAAATGAACATTCTCACCCAAGCTTCGTCATGTATCAATTAGCCTTGCAGATCCACAATTTTAAAAAGCTTATTCTGTAATCACTGTGGAAATTAACCATTTTATTGGCTTATACCTAAAACAGTCTGAAGTAGAAGTAAACTATTATTTATGTAGTATATTTTTTAATGGAATAACCTATTAAACTATACCATAACATACATGCAAAACTTCATTTCCAATGGATCTGCAAAAAATGTCACAGGAGAAAGTTCTGAAAGATCAAAAATCTACAGTCGTCCTGACATTAAATTCCAAGAATCAAAATGCAGAGAGGCTGAATAACTTGCTGGATGTCCAACAGGTACTTTAGGAAGAACTAAAGCTACAAAGTAGGATACCCGGTATCCCGCCACAGAGGTAAGCCATGTTATTCTAAGGCACTGTACAATGATGCTGTTCTAGGAGTAAGGGAGCATATGCTCAAAGTTGTACTTGCTAGAAGCAAGCCACATAAAAAAACTCTCAGTAATGCTTAGCGTGGAGATTTCCCAAACTTTACTTTCTGGAGTGGATTTTACACTCCCAGTCCTAAAAATTTTGGAATGCAAGACGAAGAGACTCAGAACAACTCAATGCAATGAAGGGCATAAGGGGACATCATGCCAGCTTCTCTTCCCTTCTGGAACTGAAGAAAGGACAACAAAGCAGCTTCAATGAACGAGCTCGGAGAACTTCTGTGACAGCCAAGAGACAGCCAGCATCTGAGATCATTACCTGGTGGGAGCTCCCAGTTTGCCAGGAATGGTCACGCACCCAAGAGACCAAGCACTATCACTGCATCCAAGCAAAGAATTTTAGGATTGTTATAAACAGCCCAAATCAAAGGCTGCTCTGCTTCTACTAATTCTTGTACAGTGAGGGATTCAAGCACCAACAAACGTTCCACCCATCTAAACCTCAGTCTCTTGACTTACAATGATCAGCAAGGAAGCTTAATTCTTTGGATATGATTCAGTCACTTTGTAAAGTGTCCAAAAGCCTTAAAGCCAAATGTGAAATGGGCACACTTACCCAATATGGTTGGTTCTTAAAGAAATTTCCAGTTCTCTTAGCACTTGTGTGGATTCTTGAACACGCCGTCTGAATTTCTAGAATTCAAGAACACATATTCTCACAAAACATTTTATCAACTGCTGTTAAGTGCCATTAGTAATAAGTTTACCCCAATATGAAAATATCTCTGCTTTTAAAGTGGGCTTCTCTCTAAGTGAAATAAGTCAATCAGGGAAAGACAATTATCGTATGCTCTCACTGATGAGGAATTGAAGAAACAAAACAGAGGATCATAGGGGAAGAGAGGAAAAGATAAAACAAGACGAAATCAGAGAGTGTGGCAAACGATAAGAGACTCTTAATCACAGGAAACAAACTGAGGGTTGCTAAAGGGGAGGAGTGTGGGGGGATATGGTAACCGGGTGACAGACACTAAGGAAGGCATACAATGTAATGAGCACTGGGTGTTTTATAAGACTGATGAATCCCTGACCTCTACTCTGAAACCAATAAAACATTGTATGTTAATTAATTGAATTTAAAGAAAAAAATGCTAAAATAAAAAATAAATAAAGTGGGTTTCTCTCACCTTTCTTTTTGCAAAGGACACAAATTGTTTTATCATGAAAGTCAGCTTATAAGAAAGGACCAGGAAGATTTTCTTATTTCATGTACTAGGTGTCTTTGAGTAAGTAGGCTACTTCTCCCTTCCCTACAACAATATTCACCAATATGCCCAAGTGTTGGGGGTCCCTGAAACTCCCCCCGCCCTAGTTTCAATGATTTGCAAAGACTCCCTCCTAGGACTTGGCATATAGTTGTCCTTATAGCTAAGACTTACTACAACAAAAACATACAAGGTACAATCAACAAAGGGAAAGGTGCATGGGCTGAAGTCCAGAAGAAACCAGATACAAGCTTGCAGCAGTCTTCTCCCAGAGGAATCACAAATGATAGTATCTGTAAAATGGGTCTACCAGGAAAGCTCACCAGGGACTCAGTGCCCAGAGTTTTTACTGGGGTCTGGTCACTTCAGCATCCTCTGCCTAGCACATACCAAAAGTCCAGACTCCCTCAAGCAAAAAGGCCTTCAGCACGCACCATATTGTTGGCACAGTGAATCATTCTTATCAGGGAAAGTTATGAACTCTCCTGAAATGCAAGTCCCCAGCTGCCAACCAAGAGCCAGCCACTCTGGGAAGCTGGCCTTTCTAAGGTAGCCATCTCAGGACTGCTATGTTAATTATTTTCTGCAAAACCTAACATTTCCCAAGAATAAGCGCATTCAGAGTTACCTTTGCCCAGGTGCCCTCATTTGGAAGGTCCCTCCGACTTTGGGAATGCCCTTCCTCATTCCTTGGCCCATCAAAATCCCACAAATCCTTCCAGAACTCCCTCAGGCCATTCTTTCTTCAACAAACCCCCCTCTGGCAGTAAATGTATGCTTCTCTATCCTCTCAACTCTCAATGATCCCCACGTACCACTGGGTCAGGATGCACATGGGCTCTCTGGAACACAATTTCTTCCAGAAACACATATTTATATTAACTAAACTTCTGGGCCACTCTGGAAGTAGGACATTTGATGGGCCGCGCCTTCTAGGAAGAGTTCCATGTTTTCTGTGCTAAAAATTCAAACCACCTGCATATTACATGGTCTTCCAAGAAAAGGCTGTGGGAATTCCAGCTCAGGATGTTAGGGACCCTTCTCTGCTGCCACAATTGCAGTGGATAGAGAGTCATCCAGGTCCAAAGATGAAGGCATCCAAGGACAAGGAGGAATGGAGGAAGGCTGGAAAAGCAGGATGTGGGGTGGGGAGAGCCTGGCAGCCCCTGGTGTCCAGATAAAGACTGGAACCCCGCTCAGCATGGAGGGGTCCTGTCACCCTCTTCTTCTCTCCCCCCAAAATACTCCTTACTAAGGCCCCAAGGAAGCCAACTGTCTCACAGTTTCCACATGGCTGCCATTCTTAAGGAACTCCAAAGACCTTCTTGGTTGTTAGAATCCAGGTATAGCCAGATATATGAAATTAAAGCATCCCCAATGCAATGAAAAAAAGAGCCACACCCCTCCTCTTTCGTGTATCCTTTGGAGGGACACCTGAGTGTCCCCTGGAGAGCTTTCCAGCAACGAGGACTGCTGATGAGGCAGAGTCTCTGGCCACAGAGCTGAGGAAACCACTTCCAAGGTGCTGGGTGCTCTGGAAAGGCCATTCCCACCTTAGAGTCACAGATGTCAGAGAGCCTGCCCTTGTGACCTTGAGAAAGCAGCTCAGCATTCCCAGCTCTGCCTCCTACCCAGTTCTGACTGGTTCCTGGTGGCCTTCAAGGGTCCTCAGGGGGAAGGTCACCACGAGCCACAAAAGCACCCAGCATAGCACTAAGGACACAACAGGGTACCCGAGAAGAATCCGCTGAAGGACTAAGAGGCGTGTATCAAAGCAGAAGACCTCCGTGGAAACACCAGGAGATACTGGGAATGACAACAGGAGCAGATAACACTTCTTGGGAGTCACTACACTTTTGCAACTGCGTGATAACAGATAAAACCAAAAGGACTCTGGCCCCGTGTTACATTCTCTCAGGAACTGGGCCACTGCCAGCGGGACTCGGGGCTATGGAGAAGCCTTGGCATCCACCTCACTAACACATTAACAATGACTGCCAACGTTCTGCACTTTGACAATGTACTCGGCATGCTTCGAAACACCACAAAGACAAACCACATGCCCGTGGGGAGCTGCGACAAGGAGCAGGTACCACCAGTGAGCCGTGTGCACCGGTCCCCTGGCCCTGTCCCATAAAAGGCAGACCCAGGGATGAGACCCCCAAAGGGGGCCCAGAGATCCCCACAATAGGTTTCGTTTCACAACCACAGGGCCTGCAGAGCACAACCCCTCCTTTCTTCACGGTCCATATGCAGCCTTCTTCCATGCTAGGCCTGAGCACACCCTCCCAGATCACAGACCAGCGCCACCCGGTACTCAAGGAGGTGATTGCTGTGGAACAGTCCTGCTCACAGAGATGGCTCATTTAGGCTCTTCCTTCCCTGCCCAGGTTTCCAGGGTTCCAGATTTAAAGCTATTTAGAAGAAAAGCTAAACAGAATATACTTAAGAATTTTTTTTAGAAGACAGCAAATCAACTATCCTCTATCCAGTGTGAACAAATGATAAATGAGTGAGGTATTCGAGGACTCCAGACACAGTGAGGGGAAGACGACTCAGCCCGGACAGGCTCCAGCTGAAAGTCTGGATTAGAAATCTTCCCTCTTCCCCGCTGCACTATAGCTGAGAATCTTAAACTCATTCTAACTGCAAGCCTGCCTTATTCTAAGCAAAATTTCCTTTCTCTAGGCTTGAGCTGAACAGATCATTTCCTCCTGCCAGCTCCCAACAGAAATCTTGCTCAAGCAGAGATGGTTAATCCAACATCCATTTTCTCTTTTTTTTTTTTTTCTTCTCAATTGAACAACTGATCTTGAAAAGCAAGGCACAGACCGAACCAGGCCACTCAGATGAACAAACGCGGTCTGGGGCCAAGATTTCACAAGTGAAGGTCAGCCCAAACAGATATCCTTGTCTTTGTCCTTTATTAAGCTATTTGCAATGGAGCAAAACTAAGCAGCTTATTTGCCTTACATCCTTTGCCTCACTAAGGAATCATTGTTCCCGAAGGGAACCGGAACTGTGCCAGGAGAAAGCATCCCGTTCCCTCCAAGCATCTCCTCCTTACAGCACTTAGGGATGGACTCTGAGAAGCCTTCTCGGGGAGTTTTCTTATTTTCCCCTTTCTCCTAAGAGTCTGTCGAATAGGGAGAGAACTATTCTACAGGGGTGGAACACACTGTGTATAAGAGGCACACTCAGTCTGGACACAGACACCAGTGTTCCTGCCTTACTTAGCTGCCCAGTAGTGTACCAAAGGCCGGGGTCCAAGCCATCCAGCCCGAGGGTGTGCAAGCTGCAGGGATTTCTGGAAATATTTCTGAAGTAGAATCTTGCTGCTCCTTTAAAGCAGAACAGCCCCCAAACCTCCTGTTTTTTCCTGGGTTGTGTTTTGGGGGAGGGTGCCTTCATTTGACCCTCTGTCAGCTGATGGCACTGAAGGCAGTTCTATCCTTGGGAAAGTGGTGAGTAAGAATTAGGCAGCGGTCTCATTTAGGGGGCCAGACAGAAGCTCTTTAAAGCAAAGAAACATGTGTGAGCCATATTTGGGGACGGGATAGGGGGCAGAGATCATGATACTCTGACAGGTACATTCTCAGAAGAGGCGGCGGCATCACAGTCCGACGCCAAAGTCTACAGCCCGATGTCATCATCATCCCAGAAGGTATTTCTTCCACAGAAACTTCCAAAAGGAAGGAATAATTGTCCTCATTTACTTATTTTTTTGGATGGGGGGTGGGCAGTGAGTCAGGGGTAGGGGGCGCAGAGGGATATTTGGAGTAAAAGCAGAAGCTAAAGAAAAAGATTTTTTAAAAAAATCACGAGAGCCCTGGAGACAGTGGGAAACTAGGAAAAGTGCGCCTTTCTTCTCTCATGAGTCACACCCCGAAACAACAGAGGGAATTCAGCTCTCGTTATTTCTGCTGCAGCCTGGAAAGCAGGAGTTGTGGGAGGTCAACCCCAAAACAAGTGCTCTCTGGTGAAGAGTGCCCATACCCATCCTGAGCACGGACAGCTCGGTGCAGAGACAGCCCAGGACCGAGCCCAGCCCGCGGGGCTGTGCCAGGCTACATGCTTTACCACAAGGCATCGGTTTAAACCAATTGTGTGGCTGCACAAAGCACAGCCTGTTTGTAAAAGGAGAAAGTCAGTTGAGAAGGGAATCAGCTATTCTCTCCTTACCTTCTCGGGGCCGGGGGCAGGGTGAGGCCGGGGGAAGCGGCTAATAGCATCAACACAGGATGTGAGCGCACAGCTGGGATGACAAAGCCCCAGTGATTTTTCAAGGCCTCTGGAAATGCACCAAGGCATGAAAGACAAGTATTCCCTTCGTTAAGGCTGCTTTTTCCAGGGGCCTGAACACCTCTGGGCTGGACTCACTGCCCTGTGTAATTGGAAATGGCAGTGACTCGCTACCCATCAGAGGTACGTGACTCTCGTCTCAGGAAAGCACTCTCAAACACACCCCTGCATGAGAAGGATGGCCTTCTTCTTTACTTCTCATGGTGCCTGTCTCCCAAGACTGGTTTCCTGGAGGTTCCCGCAGAGGCGACAGTGCAGAGGAAGGAAGATCCCCTCCAGTGCACACTCACGAGGGAAGTGACAACAGGAGTGAAAACAAATCCCTCTTACCTTCCTGGTTACAGCTGGGTCCAGATAGCCCTTGAGCTTTTGAATGTATGTATGGGGAGGATTCTTCACCTGGAATCGTTCCTGCAGGAAGCACAAAAGTAAAAAGCATGAAAGTCACGGAGGCAAGAGCGTCGGCCACATTCCAACAGGTCAGTATGGCTGACCCACGGCTGACGCCCATCTGCCACAAGAGTGTGGCCCCACAGAACACCTTTATGTATCTGCACGGCTTGTGAAAGGTTTTGAATTTTTATAGGGAATGATATTATCCTCGTTTTGCAGAAGAGAAAAGCAAAGCTCCAAGAAATTCACCACTTCCCTAAGATGACGCAGTTAGTCAGCGGTACAAATGGGTTTGTCTGCCCTGCTCTGGGCTCTGTCCGCGGCCCGTTTCAGCAGGTCTTCAGTCCACTGCATAGTCTACGGGCCGTCTTCAATGTGGGCAAATCCTTTTCTTGGGAATAGGAGTCTTCAAACATACCAAAACCTTCACTCAAACTGGGTAAAGACCGTTTGTTTCAAAAATGAGTAAAGAGTGGGGCGCCTGGGTGGCTCAGTGGTTAAAGCCTCTGCCTTCAGCTCAGGTCATAATCTCAGGGTCCTGGGATAGAGTCCCACAGCGGGCTCTCTGCTCAGCAGGGGGCCTGCTTCCTCCTCTCTCTCTGCCTGCCTCTCTGCCTACTTGTGATCTGTCAAATAAATTTAAAAAAAAATCTTTAAAAAAAAAAGAGTAAAGAGTCTCCTGCTAAGAGGCGAGTGAGCGTCTGCTCTCTGCGGGAGTGCCGGTGCACGGATGCGATCGTGAACGCGTAAATGAGGCAGTCCCAAAGCAGAAGACCCAGAGATGTTTTTAACAAAGGCACAGTCACTGAAATAAGCTTATGAAGCCAGAATATATATCCCAAGGTGGTATGGGAATGGAGATCTGGGTGGGACCAGAGAGTCTGCGTCACTAACAAGTCTAATGCTAAGGCTGTGCACGGAGGCACCACACTTGAGAGAAACTCACGCCCACGTGTGTCAGCTTTCATAGACCGCAATGTCCAAAGCAGCCTAAGAAGCAATAGTAAAAAACTGGGTACATGCCCACAAACCATAAAATGGCTAAATGCTCGTATTATGTTCATACAATGGTATACCATATTCTGACAAAAACCAACAAACTGTACTACATGCTCCCATATGGACAGATCTTATAAACCTGATGTTGAGCCAAAACTAATGATTTCACTTCCATGGATTCACAGGACGGGCAAAATTAAACTTTAACGGTAGGGACACATACATAAGCTGTTTTATTTGCTGATACACACATATATATCTAGGGAGTGGGGAAAGAGAGGATTAGCATTAAAATGACAGGTGACTGAGGCGGAGGAAGGAAAATGCCCAGTGATCCCAAGGGGCTCCAAGGTTCTATTTCTTCATCATGTAGTAGTCACACAGGCACTGGCTTTACCCTGCTTAGGATGCTCGTCTTAGGTTTCACAACTTTTTGCGGACCTTTGCTACCTTTCACACACATACAAGTTTAAATGAATCAGCTCTAAAAGGAAAAATTAAGATTCGTCATGAAATCAAAACCATTCTTAGGGTCTCTTCTACCCACAACCTCAAAAGATGCTTTTCTAGTAATTCTTTCTAATCTGATTATTGCTTATGCCACAACAGAGTTTTGGAGTATTTTGCAACACTGACAACTAGCCAACATGTTCAAGTATGTGTTTATCCTCTATAAACTTGTATTTCTCCAACACAGGGAACCACAACATCCTTCCTGGTCCACTCAAGTTTTGCTTGCTTACAGCTTTAGAAAGGCTGAAAAATCATCTCATTATTATAAAAAAGATCATCTTATTAGAGAAAACATGTTTTGCTTTTAAAATACTTTAATAATTAAGGGACTCACAGTAAGACACTTGTCCATATTTTCCCTTTATTTAAAAATGATGAGGAATTTCACAGTACATAAACTGAATCTCAATAGAGCTATTAACAAAAAGATTAACATATTATTTCTAATTTTTTAAAGATTTCAATTATTTATTTGAGTAAGAGAGAAACGAGAGCATGAGCGGGGAGAAGCAGCAGCAGGTTTCCTGCTGAGCAGGGAGACCAAGGCAGGGCTGATCCCAGGACCCTGGAATTGTGACCTCAGCCAAAGGCAGACCTTTAACTGACTGAGCCACCCACATGCCCCAGCATATTATTTCTAATTATTCCCCCAAATTTTGCAAGCAACTTCTAAATAACAATTCATAAATGTTTGACATTCCTAATGCTATCAAATGGTCTATGTATAAAGCCTCCCCCCACTTTTATTTTGAATCACCAAGACTTCACTAAGGAACCAGATAGGATCCAACTGCCATAGGGCTTTAGCAATATCCCAGCTGAAGGCTAAAATAATCACAAAAAACTCCAAAAAAATGAACTGAGAAGCTATCTAGAAGCCAGTTATCATTTCCAACCTTGTGTATGACAATAAGTAATGCCAGAGATATTAGAATATCAAGAAAACTCATACTTTTTAAAAGCATAATCCTATTAACTATATTTAAAATTCCTATGACCAGGGACAACTCAAACTGTGCTCCCTTCCATGACAACAAACTTCTACCTCGTAAAGATCCCTCACACATGAAACTCAATGAATTTTTTTTTTTTTTAAGATTTTATTTGTTTATTTGACAGAGAGAAAGAAGGTCAGAGGGAGAAGCGGACTCCTTGCTGAGCATGGAGCCCGATGTGGGACTTGATCCCAGGACTCCGGGATCATGACCTGAGCCGAAGGCAGTCGTTTAACCAACTGAGCCACCCCAGGTGCCCTGAAACTCACTGAATTTTAACTCTGGCTAATACAGTAGTTATTTGAGGACCTAAATTTGAATCTGTGGACGGTTGCTCAAAGATGCCTAACGACTGTTGTTAAGGCAATGTCTTCACAACAGAAGAGCTGTATGTATATATGTATGTATTTATTTATTTATTAAATTTATTTATTTGACAGAGCGAGACAGAGCGAGAGAGAGAATACAAGCAGGGGGAGTGGGAGAGGGAGAAGCAGGCTTCCCATGGAGCAGGGAGCCCGATGTGGGGCTCGATCCCAGGACCCTGGGATCATGACCGGAGCCGAAGGCAGATGCTTAACGACTGAGCCACCCAGGCGCCCCGAAGAGCTGTATTTATTATAACAACGAAATCTGGGGGCACCTGAGTGGCTCTGTTGGTTGAGCATCTAACTTGTTTTGGCTCAGGTCACAATCTCAGCGTTGTGAGATCGAGTCCCGTTACAGGCTCCACTCTGGAGCTGAAGATTCTGTCTCCTTCTCCCACTGTCCCCTCCCACTCATGTGCCCCCACCTCAAAAAAAAATAAAGTAAAATAATGAAATCTGGTTGACTAGCATATATAGCATGTTGGCATTCACACAATTAGTGAATCCCATTTTTGACCATCAACAAATGCATCTTTCTCCATTTCCTACTCAAGATTGTCGTGACCCAGGGGGCTTTCTCAAATATAGACATTCATTGGTCCTGTAAGTACTTCCTTTTAACTATTCCCCTGAAATTACGGATGAAATCTACAACTCATACATACTTTTTCAAATGTGCTTACAAAAATTTGCTGCTATTTTAGTCACCTTTTTCACTTGTCTGAATAATACACTAACGTATTTCCAAGAACAGACCGTGAAGAAGCCTGATGCCTCACAACACAGTAAGTCTACGTTCTACGTTCTATCTTCTGCTCCGAAAACTCAGCTTACATCCAGGGCTTTAAGTAAAACTGGTATGGAGAAAGAATACAAAAGATCCAGTCATTTCCCTAAAACTTGGGGCTGTTCGTCTAACCTCAAAAGGAGCTACTGTTTATAAATTCAGCATCTGGCTCACCAAAATTTTCTTTCTGTGTCTTCAATACAGCCATTTGGACAACAGAAACATTTGGGAGAGTACACTGGAGAATGTCAGCACCTTGCCAAAACACATTTACTCTAAAGGACTTTGGAAGGATTACTGGCATGTTTATTTAAATTAACAATTTCTTCTTCTCTATTAGAATTTTAGACTTTGCACTGAAACTCATAAATGCCTTGGATGACAGTTTTCCATTATCCTCACTTCCCGATCGGCTAGATCCCACTGGCTGTTTTCATAACCAGTTACGTGTTTGCTCAACATCACTGATGTGAGTAGCTTAATTAAATGAAGTCCTCAACTTGAGTCCCATTATCAAGAATTATTCTTAGGGATAAAAAATATGCTCTAAATAACATGGTGACTTGTCAATGTGAATTTATATCATTTGGAAGAACTTGTGACATACAAATTTCTTCTAAACGTCTCATCATTCAGCATCCCATCACCCTGACCTCTTGGCATTTATCTCTCTTTAATTTTTTTAAAGACTTATTTTTGCGAGAGAGAGAGAGAGAAGAGAGAGCAAGTGAGCAAGCATGAGTTGGGGAGGAGGGGCAGAGGGAGAAGCAGACCCTCACCAAGTGGGAAGCCTGATGCGGGACTCAATCCCAGAACCCTGGGATCATGATCTGAACTGAAGGCAGAAGCTTAATTGACTGAGCCACGCAGGCGCCCCTGCCGTCTATCTCTTTGCGTGATCAAATTTTCCTCACAGCATGTTTCTGGATGGAAATGACAATCGCTCTGGGGTTTTTAACCCTTCTCCATAAACATTCAAAGCAAAGAGCCCCAAGTTATTTCTCCATATTCAGGACAGTAAGCCACAAACTGCACTGGGTTAGGTATGGGAGGGAACAAATCTAGGATCAGAGACTCTTCTCTCAAGGAAAGGCAACTGCCACATGCAGCACCTCATCTGGATGTGTCTGTAGTCTTGGAAGCTTGACTACCCTACATATGGACCTCGCCTCCACGTGAACCCTGAGAGCTTGCTTTGAGGCTTCGGCAAGGGAGTGCAGCCACCATAAGGCCCTCATGGAAGAAAGGTACTGCTCTATCAGGGAAGGTCCTCCTCTTAGAGAACACAACTTATGGAGGGACACACGAGATAAATGTAAGGGATCAATGGAGTGACCAAGTCACCCTCCCAATCAA